TGACTCTGGTTTAGGCAATATATTTCTTTGAATATGTCTCCTCAGGCAAAGACAACAAAAGCAAAAACAAATAAATGGGACTACATCAAATGATAAAAAGCTTTGCATAGTGAAGGAAATCAACAAGATAAAAAAGCAATCAACTGGATGGGAGATGACATCTACAGATGATAGTAAGGGGTTAATATCCAAAACATATGAAGAACTTACACAACACAGTATCAACAACAAAACAAATTTTAAATAAGCAGAGGACCTGAACTGCCCTTTTTTCAGAGATGACATCCAGATGGCCAAACGATACACAAAAAGATACTCAACATCATTAATTAATAGACAAATGCAAATCAAAACCACAAAGAGATGCCAACTCACTCCTGTCAGAATGGCTATAACAAAAGGACAAGAAATAACAAGTGTTGGCATGGATGTGAAGAAAAGGCAACTCATGCAATGTTGTTGGAATATTACTCAGTCATTAAAAAGATGAAATCTTACAATGTGCAATAACACAGATGACCTAGAAGGTATTAATTACATTAAATGAAATATATCATTATATTTCATTATATCATTATATATCATTAAATGAAATATATATTCCATTATATATGGAATCTGAAAAGCAACACAAATACACAAAAACAGAACAGAAACATATTCATAGATACAAAGAATAAACTGGAGGTTGCCAGAGAGGAGGTAGGTGGAATAAATGAAATAGAAATAGGTAAAAGGAGTAAAGAGGTTTAAATTTCCAGTGTATACACAGAGATCTATCGATCATGGACAGCATGGGAAATACAGATAATAACACTGTAATAATTTTGTATGGTGACAGATGGTTATTAAACATATCATGGTGGTCATTTTCCATAAAATACTGAATCACCACGCTGCACACCTAAAACTACTGTCATATTGTATGCTGCTGTTACTTACTTGCTACGTCATGTCCAACTCTTGTGACCCCATGGAATGCAGCCTGGCAGACTCCTTCTGTCCATGGTATTTCCCAGGCAAGACTACTGGAGTGGGTTGCCATTTCCTCCTCCAATAGTATTGCATGCAAATTATAACTCAGTAAAAAGGTGAAAAAAGTATTTATCAAAGATGAAAGTTGTCAGCCTTTATGTCATCATGAAAGGATTTGGTAGTGGTGATGTCAGGGAGCATATACTTACTCTGGCTATTTTACAAGATTGTTAAAGAGTCAAATGAGTTCAAATTAAATCTAATCACAGAAAATCCTGATCAATTTTTAAGCAATATTTTAAGAATAATGTATTATTAATACTTATTCATTATGGCACAGGAATATGAATGGCTACATACACAGTATGAATAAATCCAACCACTCTAATTAAAGCTCTGTAATTTTACTCCCTTTAAAAGTATTTCTCCCATCTTCCCATTTCATATGTAATATATTAAAGTCTACTGAGTAAAGCTTTGGGCCTGCCTGCTAGAAAAGATTGCTTTGTGGTTTTTAGTTTCACGAACTAAAGTAGATTCTTCATTTCTGTCATTTAACATAATTCTGTAGGTTTCACTCCACTGGAGAAGAGCAGCATTTTAACCCTGTGCCTGTTATTGCATTGAAAGTACAGGCTACAGTGACAGAAGTATTTCAGATGGAGAGATAGTGCTTAAGTTACACCTCACACTTCTTTCACAACCTCCAAACCTACGCCAAGCTCAGACCAGTATGTTCACTCTCAGAAGAAATAAACATTGAATATATATGACAGACATAAGAGTCTTTCTCCTTTCTAATCCTGGCCCTCAGGCAGCACTGTAGTAGAACTTTTTATGGCTCCCAGGGTACAGAAATACATAGGAGTAGGGGCAGGATACAAACGAAAAGCAGGGGAAGAAATCTTTGCTTTTCTTAATTACTTTTAGCATATTTAAATTCTGATTATTCCTAAGGGCTGGAAGAAGCATAAGCTGGAATCAAGATTGCTGGGAGAAATATCAATAACCTCAGACATGCAGATGACACCACCCTTATGGCAGAAAGTGAAGAACTAAAAAGCCTCTTGATGAAAGTGAAAGAGGAGAGTGAAAAACCCGGCTTAAACCTCAACATTCAGAAAACTAAGATCATGGCATCCAGTCCCATCACTTCATGGCAAATAGATGGGGAAACAGTGGAAGCAGTGTCAGACTTTATTAATGGCATTACCGACTCGATGGACATGAGTTTGAGTAAACTCCGGGAGTTGGTGATGGACAGGGAGGCCTGGCGTGCTGCGATTCATGGGGTTGTAAAGAATTGGACATGACTAAGTGACTGAACTGAACTGAAGGTATATTTCACATATCCACAGGCAGTTTGATTTAAAGTTCTTATACTGACATTATTAAAGATATTAAAATATACACTTTTGGTAGTAATTTGCTTTTTACTGCACTCAAGTGGGAAATCTTTTAAATGAAAACAGCTACTCTGTGCCTGAGGTTAAAGGTGAGTCAAAGGTGACAGAAGAAGAAAAAATAGTTATTCTTAAACTAGTCTATAAAGTCAAAATGCTTGTGAAAACAACACTGTCCACCCACCATGCACTGGTAAACAGCAATGTCTTATTTTTTGGCAAAAATTGTATCAGCTCACTGTGACACATTCCACATCAACAGATCTAATGTGCATGAGTTTTTTTTTTTTTTTTAGAAAAGAAAAATGACTAAATAAATGGACTTCCTTTGATGGACCAAATCTAAAATATGAAACCCACAAAAGGAATCCTTTTATAGTTAAAAGGTTATCAATGTGATATTGCTATAACATCTAGCACAGGAAGAGGAAAAAGTGAGTAGAAAATAGGAAGAAAGCCAGGCTACTTCTTGTTGAGTCACTCCTTTAGTATGTGCTTTTTTTTTTTTAATATATTTTATTACTTACTGTGTTAAAAGTACTTTCAAACTCAAATAAGATCCTCAATTATTTCTAATGGGTATACTTTAAAAATTTTATTGACGTATAGTTGATTTACAATGTGCTAATTTTCTGCTGTACAGCAGAGTGACTCAATTATACATATATGTGTGTGTATGTGTGTGTGTGTGTGTATACACACACACACACATATATATATTTTTTCTTTTTCATATTCTTTTCCATTCTGCTTTATCACAGGATATTTTCCTCTGACCATCAAATTTAAAATTTTTAAAGCAGACTCCTAGGAGGAACAACTAGAAAAATTACTAATGCTATACAGCATGAGAGGAAAAGTTATCCACCACCATGCCCTACCTGCCACACTCCACCTCCTGCTAAACTAAGCTGAGTAAGTATGACAACTGTCAGCTCTGTGCTACAGAAGCTTCTACCAAAAGCCTTAAAGCCAAGTGAGAGTCTTCTTTTTTCCAAAGCTGGGAGGCAGCTCTGAAGTAGAAGTCTTTGTGGCTCCCAGAGGACAGAGATATTTGAGTAAAGCACAAATGTTTGTTTTTTTCTTAATACAGTCACAGTCTACAATGATTAAATTAAGATAATAGAAGATAAACAACATTATTTTCCTATACCTTCTTTCAAAGAACTTCCTAGATTATGACATTTACATTGGCATATACCAAATCAGGTGTATAAATCACACTAAGATGAAACGTATATAAAAAGACAAGAATCCTAAATTGCTTTAGTAAATGCACTTTTTTCAAGAGAACTAAATTTCCATATTAGAATACCACAGTGAAATAAGATAGTCCACAGAACTGAAAATAGGTACTAAAATTCTCAATTTTTCTCCTCTTCTCAGCTGCTAGTAACAATCTCTAGAAAGTTATTCAGCTTCAGTTTTCTAAGTCATTAGTCTCTAAATCCTCTCAATTTTTTAGTTAGAAAAATAAAGAACCAAGAGATTCAGTGAAGCATTTCAAGAAACTAGATTCTGAAGATGAAGTTAAATTCAGACAGCGTTGAAATACAAAACTGGAACTACTACTGACACGTATAAAATACTAGTTTCTGTCGTCAATGGTGACAGTTTTGCATGTTTGTTTTCAAAGTACACACTCATGACTAGATAAAAAGAATCTGAAGCACTGGCACACACACATAAAGTTTATCAAAAGGCACTGTTGTTACTGTCTATTCTCCATGGCTCAAGGAAGAGTTTGCAAGCTAAGGAAAATCCTTTTACATGAGAACTATGGTTACTGGCTCATAAGTAATATGGCTATTCACCACTTAGAGGATAATCTAGTGTAAAGTTACTTTTGCTTCTTCTCATCCCATCATCACATCTACTTTTCTTCCTATCAATTTCTGCACATGAAAAAGAAAAGCAAAGTTTAAACCACAGAAAATGTTAGCTGCTTTCCTAGGAAGCTGAATAGAGCAGCATTGCATAGTCCTAGTCTGTTCCTTAAGAAAACAAGAACCCAAAGGGGAAGACTCTTGTGTGAGAGAGAAAGTGTGTGTGTGTGAGAAAGAGACAGACAGAAAGTGCAAGTGCATGTGGTGTTAAGACAGAGAAAGAAAGGATTATTTTAAGACACAGATAAGTATGAGCAACATGATTTCTATATGTCGGTGTTACTAGTAATCTGTTTGGTATTTGCCATGTTCAACTGGATCAAACATAAAACTAATAAACTAGAGCTATAAATTATATACCATAGATAAGACAATCAATTACAGATTGAGAGAGCAAAAAATTCATATTGCATGTCACCTTCAGTAGTATCTATTAAACACATCTCTTAAAAAACTATAAACAGAAGATTTTAAAAGATACACAAATGACCTTAAAAATGGTTAAAATCTAGACATTTATAATGGAAAAATTTATTAAATAACCATATTAGTATGAAAATGTACCTTAAAGGTTAAGATATTTAGGGTTCAAAACTTGGACAAGTAAGTGTGCAAATCAAAACACAATTTTTCGGTGAGTTTCCAGACATTGCATAATAAATGTGGGATAATTACAACATTGATCAGTAAAACCCAATTAGAAACAGTTACACCATAGCAAACAGAAATGAATTACCTCGTCTTCGCCCATAACTCCTCGCTGCATGTAAACAAAGGACAAATTGTAAAATGTCAGAACTAAAAATAAGCCCACATAGACAAACATTTGTGACATGGAAAGCTATGTGGGCATCTGAAAATTCGAACTACTTTGTCTTAAAAGCTACCTCAATATCATCACACAACATGTGTATGGTATTTTAATATTTACAAAGCACTCTTTTATGTGCCATCTGAACCATATAAAAACTGTGAAATTAACTGGAAATACAAAATTTATTCTCAATTATGTTAAAACTCATGAATAAATATTTATTTCATCTAATTGGGATAGGAATATGTAACACTTTATGGTTAAACAGCATCCTAAATATTTTTCCCAATGAATGTAGACAACTTGAATCCTTACTTTTCTACTTATTATAAAAAGTGATACAGTATATAATGTTCAACTAGTAATTCAGGTCAACATCACTTTTTATGCAAAGCCCTGCATGGAAAAATAACTGGAAGACACAGAAGAGTGAAAAGATAAAACAATATTGAACTGGTCCACTGAAGTCTACAGAGCTTAGATAGACAGAATACAAGACTCGTGTGTTCAAACTTGCTTAAGTGAAGAAATGATCAATGATAGACTAATAATGCTTTCAATCTTTTTGGTACATTTTATAACAGCTAAGTTATATTGTCTCCACATCTGGAGTAAGAGGGATTCCAATACAAACTATTATTAGTATCTTCAAAGAATAGTACACATGTTAAACCTTTAAAAGTGTAAAGCAGAAAGTATTTCAACCTATGTTACTAGCAGTTTACAGATTCCTCATGGAGAAAAAACACTGCAACTTATTTTTCATAAGAGTACCAGTGTGATAAAATCTATAACTTGTTTTTAAATAACTTAGCTCCCAAATTTGAGTATACTATGAGTATTTCTACTCTAGAATTAGCAGTAAACCAAAAATGACTGTCAAAATCAAGATCTTAATTCATATTCATCAATTTTTTTAGGTCTGGGAAAAACCTGTTATTGAAAAATTTCAAGTCAAAATACATATTAAAGGTTGTCAGAAATGTAGTCTCTCCAAAGGATAAAATTTAAAGATCAAAGGAAAACATGTTACATCATTAAACACATTCTATTGCAGAGATTTTACAAAATTCAAAAAAAAATTATACTAAGGCTTTAATATAAAGAAGTGTGTCTACAGGGTGGGGCTACAGTCTTAGTTCCCCTATAATAAAAAGGAGAGAACCAAACTTGGAAAAGTCTTAATCATTTTTATTTCAAGAAATAAGCCAGTAAATGTAAGGGTTGTATTAGTCTTTTATATAAAGCAACTTCATTAACATCCCTGCATTTTACTGTCTTTAGTTACGTATACTATATGTACAGACTATTGTCTTCTGTTATATAAATGCAGACTTAACCTGTCCATGAGCTCCAGTTACCTCAAAACCTGGCAGATTTACCTCACCTATATACACATTTATACGTAGCTTACCTCTGTGTGTGTTTATGTATATATACAGATTATATTAATATATAGCTTAACTGATCTATATATTAGTTTAGGGTGAGGGTAGTAGTGGAAGTGGCATTTGGAATTTTGTCATATAGGTCTTCTGAGACATATAGTCCTTAAGAAAAACAGGGTCTCAAAGAGACTGAAGATCAACTACAGAAAATTAGACACTAGGAATTATAAAAGGAGTTATCAAGAACAGGCTATGGAAGGATGAATTCCCTGAAGTCTTCATAGCTGTATTCAGCATCAAAGTGGTCAATAGGCCCCAAAGCACGTCACAGCTTAAATCAAAAGTTGGGCTTCCTGCTTATCTAAAGGCATTAATCTAATATAAATTTGCTTTGGGGAATTTCATTCATGGTTGTAGAGGGTCAAATATTCAAAAGAAAATAAAACTTTTCATCAAATTTAATGTTATATTATAAAATTATGACTAAGTAATAATGTACAAACTCCAGGAGACAGTGAAGTACAGGGAAGACTGGTGCATGCCAGTCCATGGGTCACATGACTTAGCAACTGTACAACATAAATCATGATCTATTGAGAAAATTAATGACATCATAACCAGCTTATGGTCTTAGCTTTTATGTTCTTAGCTGAGGCTAGTCAACACTAAAATAGTGAAAATATGCACAAATGTTCACAGCATCTTAGGTTTCATCTCATTTCTAGGCTTGAACACATTACTTAGAAAGTTTCTCCAACTATCTCATACCTGAGGAATTTTAGAATCCTGTAAAGGGCTATTGCCCTTATTTCTTGGACAACTCTCAGATTCCAAGTCTCTACATTACCAAAAATAGAACTGACTGCAGATGAAGCTAAACCACGTGAAACATTCCCTATTCCCTGTCATGGAAATAACCAATCTCCTACCATTATGCTAAACAATGGTGTGTGTACTCAACTTTCCTACTAATATTTCTATGTGAATTTCATGGATATGTTCCACTGTAACCGAATCAGAATTATCAGAAATCCTCAGTGAGAAAAGAAAATCATTACATGTCTAGTAATCATTATGTTTTAATTAAAACAGACTTCTTTAAGCAGTATGCCCCTCCCAAACTCATTTAGAATATGATTTAGAGAAAAAAAAAAGCAAATAATTTGTAGTATAAAAACACTATACTTAAGAGTATTAAATTTCAGGTACATAGATTTATAAAGCATCATAAAAAGTGAGGAGCTGGCTATTTAACATACATGTGTATATATATATATATATATGTATGTATGTGTGTTAAAATATATATTATAGACACACACACATATATTTCTTTGTTTTCAATGAAGGTAATAAGGAGGTGAGAAAAGCCTGAAGATCCTTCCTATACAAGGGATGTTACAGTTTGGCCCTGGTTACCAATAATCTGTTTTGATTCTAACCGGTAGCTACTTAAAAAGAAACAGGATAATTCTAACCTTCTCCTTAGGACTTTTGTGCCCTTAGGTATTTACTCTCAGCAACAGTCTGTGGTGCCTGAATTACTGCAACTGGAGGAAGGGATAGGTAAACATACCAAATCAGCTGGAAATATTTAAAGGTTAACATTTTCTTGGTGTGAAGCTAAAGACATTATGTTTTGTTCTAAAAAGCCAAAACCAAGGAGAGAAATATCCCTCCCTCCCATCACAATCCTTTTCAAGATACAAAATAAATCTGCTATGATCTACTTCACTTCCATCAGCATCAAAAAAGAACTGATTGCATACTCAAGTTTCCTATTTTCATGACTGAATATACTTAAAACAATTTCATTACTGAGTACATTTTCTTAATTAAAAGATACACATAATTTCCTCCTAAAATAGAGCAAACTCTTGATTACAAACATTGGTGTATGTGGTTAATCACAACAAATCTGAATTTCAAACCAGCTTGCTACCCTCTCCCCCACACACATACTTCTGCTGTTCCCCTTTTGAAAAATCGCATGTACTAATAAAAATGTAAGCCATTTTCCTTGGGAGACATGTGAAGGGAGTACAGTAAGAGAAACAAATACTCCAATGATACAACATTTTGTATTACTCCTAGAAAATATTTTTTTTTACTACTGTTAATTAAAAATGTAAGATTTATACACTTAGAAATACAAACATTAAAGCTGTCATTCTAACATCAGACTTGGTTTTACGACAATCTATCCACTGCTATATAATGCAACTTCCCTAAGGTACTCCTAGATGTTAAAGCTGGACTCTTCTATAATATCTGAATTATTCAACAATGGCAGTGTTCACTAGTCAACTGGATTTCTAACTGAATTGAGGAACACAGTCTACTGTAGGAGCCTATTTGCAGTTATATCTCTATGACATTTTTTACTGTTAAAATCTGTAAAAAAAAAAAATCTAAAGAACAACTTCATGAGACATACAGGTATGGGATTATAACTTTTTTTATCTGAGTAAACAGAGGCTCAGAGTTAACGGATTTGCCAGGGGTACTTCAGAGTCTCACCAATTTTGACCAACTTCCTGACCTTTACTCCAGTCCCTGTTTATCCTTTATTATCCCTTACTTAAAAGGAGTGTTTACATGTTTAGCTATCATGCTAATTACTCAGGAAAGCAGAATCACAAGACCTTTACATCATCTGCCTTATCTTCATAACCCCTAGACCTGAGTTTATATATTATCTTTTAATGGACTCAAGCCTAGCACCACTAGAACATCACAGATTTCCACCACTCCTGTATTAGCTAAGGAATGATCTTAAACTGTAAGAGGCGTGTGTTTATTTTAATGTGCAATTGTGCACCACCAAAAGTCATCTTGGGTGCCAAAAAGGGCAAGTATACCACACTTGAGAAACACTGCTTGAGGAAATCATTTTACTTTCATTGACTCCAACTTTGAGCTTCTTCAAAATGGTTCTAGCCAGGCTTTCTGAAGTAACATTAAGTCTTTGTCCACTATAAATAACCTTCCTTCAAACACTTGAAAATTCCAGTTAAGTCTTCTTTTAACTTTATATTCCCCAAACCGATCCAGCTTCTTCATTTATGCACAAGACACAATTTTTACTCTTTCAAAGTTATTTTGTCACTGTTCATCACCCGTTACCACAACCGACTTTTACTGTCAGGAACTGTTCTAAATACTTCATGTGAACGAAATCACTCACTTCTCACAAGATCCTTCTGAGGCAGGCAGAATGCTGTCTCTCTTTTACACATGAGGACTCAGAGACAAAGGAAAGCTAGGTAAACCACCCAAGGTGACACAGTTAGAAATAGCAAACTTGGGTTTAAACTCAGATACCCTGGCTCCAGAGTCTGTAATTCCAACCACTGCCAACTATTGCTAAACCACCACATGGAAGGAATACTGATGCAGAATTTATTACTAATGTTAATTTTAAAGGTCAATAATATCAGCTATGCTTGTTGGTTAAATAATATTACTAAATCAGTTGCCTAATGGTGAGTTAAATTTGTGACAAACTAAAAAGACTAACAATTTCAAAAGCAGGTCTATGTGCTGAGATGCTGTAATTTCTTTAATCAATCAGTAATATTGCATAATAACTCAGTATAGGCAGAAGTTTGATATTACTATCACTTAATTCTCACTTCTCTCTTCAATAACCTTGACATCTACAAAAAACCCTACATTCTTAACATTTAATACTTTCTTACCCCATAAATATACCTTATTTTCTGCTCTTGCTTTTCCTCTTAACCAAGGATCCCAGATAAGCAAAGTTTTGGTTTTTTTGTCCCTCTCTGGATCCAGTTGTTTGAACTAGCCTAAACACTTCTGATGTCCTAGATTCATCACCATTTTTCTCTCCTAGTCCCTGCCAGAAGTTCAGAATTCCCAGGATGGCTTACTGCACTGAGTATGTACTATAACCCTAAAATGGAATTCTGTAAAGGATGCTAACATAAAAAACAGATTTGTCCATATGATGTAACTCCTGCGTGCCTTAATTTTATTATTCTCCAAACAAATCCAAGTCTTTCATCTATTCACAGGACATGATTTTTACTCTTTCAAAGTCATTTTTGAAAATATATATATTTAATAAAATATGATTAGGTCTACTATGTGATGAAACACTCAACATCTAGATTACTTATAAAGGTTTGAGACAACTGAAGAAGTCAATTAGTTTAATAATGTTTAGTGCAACCGAAAGTACAAACTGTAAAAATAGTGTGGCTACTAAGCTCTGTTCACATAGAACCAACACATTCTATTGTGATTACGATACACTTCTGAATCATTCTATTTTACTATGTATTCAGCAGTCTAAGAACATCTGCGAATGATCTAACAAATTATCTCATACAGCACTTTCCTTTAGATAGGTTTTAACAGAATACGTGAAACATATGCAAATTCACTTTTCAACTGAATAGCTTTTCTTAGAAGTTAAAAATAGAAATGTGAATGATCTTTATTTACCACACAGACTGTTCCAAAAGAAAAGGATTTAAGGAAGTCAGGATCAGCACATTAAAAATGTATCATTACCTAAAGTTATTATTTTATAAATCAAGCCATAAAAGTAATAAAGACTATGGTCTATTTTCTGTTTTGTAAACATAATTTTCAATCACAGATTAAGAATTCAGAGACCAGCTGCTTAAATGATGATATGGTTTGTTAATTCCATGGTAGAAAAAAGGCTGCATGAAGAAGTCCTGGGATGTAATTTCCAGTGCCTTTCTGGTCAAAGTCTATGGACTGCTAGACCTCTGTAAGGCCTGGCATGAACATGACCTCAGTCTAGAGTGCAGAGTCTGTTAATGCTGTGACAATTCTACTTCTAACCATCCTAGAAGATCCTCAGGAATAAATAAACCAGTGATTAGACTAGGCTAGCATGTGGTGGGTACTCAGTACAAAAGGGTCAACTGTTGAACAAATCAACCTGTCACCTCACTTAATGCTTTGCTTCTTCAATTCTTCTTTTATTCCATCATCCTATCTACACTGACTATCTCCTAGGTAGCCTAGACTTTCTTCCTATCTTTCCTTCTTTATTTAATATTAATTTTTAGTTAACACTAGAGTTCACATTGTCTAGCTTCACACTGGCTGTTTTTTCACTCTTTGTTTCTCAACTTCATTGCCAACTTTTTTAAGCAAAGCTTTAGTTGAAGAAGTGTCAAGCCACTCTAGCAATTAATTATGTATTTTAAAGGAGGTCCTATACTATCTTTACCATTCCTTCTTCATCCTTCTTCCCTCTTCTCAGACCTGCCCCTTGCACATGCTCTACAATAAATAAGTGTTGTTTAAAATTTAAAAATAAATAAATAAAAGCAACCTTTGCGAAGGGTATTTTAATCCTGCCATGTCTACTCCAAGGTCATGGAAGTGCTAGGTACTGTGACTCCAAATGCAATATTTGTCCAACAGAAAGAAAACAACTTTAATGAAAGTCTATTTATTCTTTTTCATGAGAGTAAAATTCACTGTGTAAACTTTCTAACTAGAAAAAAATTAAGTATGACTACCATATTTAGAGAATCACCAGTATATTTCCTAGTTGAACATAAACACAAGTGTTATAGTATATAATAACAGGTTCTACAGACTTTGTAAATAGTACCTCATTTCATTCTCATAATGAACTTTGAGACTGTTATTCCTATTTCACAGACAGGAAGTTAAGGCTCACGGAAGTCACTTAAACAAGTCAATACAATAAACTGGAAAGCTGATATTCAAACTCAGGATCGCTTCTGTAGTCATAACCATCGACTTAAATCACGCTGTCACAGCAGGCTTCAAAGGCTGCTTTGCCAGTGAGAATATGCTCAAACGCCTAGTCCTACTTTCTGTACAGGAAGAACTGCAGCTTCATTTTTATACTTATAAAATGATTAGCTTGTATGTACAGGGAAGGTTTAGAGAAACATGTATTCAGTCATCTCTATATAAATCAATTGAAAACATAAAATGTTTTATAAAAACTTACCATTTAACATCAATAGATTGTCAGTTCCTGGATGTGGATAGCTCAATCGACCTTTAAAAAGATGGGAAAGGGAAGTTTGAAGATTATGGAGCTATTGGAAAAGCAAAAAAAAAAAAAAAGGAAGGGGAGTAAGGAGAATAAATTTACTGAGCATAGTACAGTTCTTCAGGAATAAAAAATTAATGTTTAGTTCAAAGTGTATTAACTGAAACTACCTTTGGAAGTTGAAAATGAAAACAGTGAACTTTTAGTTCTCAGAATATAAGAGCACAATGTGATTTGGGAGCAACCCTTATGGAATCAAGTTTTCTTTTTTTGGAATAAAAAAACAATGTAGGTATCCTAGTCTTTCAAACTTAATACAGGATGTGAAAATTAAAAAAAAAAAATTCTCAAATCTGTTTGCAATTCTCTCTAAAGGCCTATTTTCCCAAAAATCATATTTGAAGGACAGAAACTTATATTCTTAAAAAAACACAACAACAACAAAAAAATAAGCAGCAAAAACTCTTCTCAACTTGCTCTTGAATTCAATATGATTTTATAAGCTGAATTTAAATAAAACTTAATAAAAACATCTTAAAGGTTTTACTACAAATAGTATTAGAAATTTAATACTGTTTGATATTATTCAAATTTTATAAATGAGACAAAAATAAAAACATAAAAAATGCAAATATTAAAGCTTAGGAGCATGAATACTTCTTTTTAAGTCATCCTTCCTTAGAGAATTTTGCATTTAGAAAAATGCAGAAGGGACAACTACTATATACTGCTGTGGAAGAGAAAAAAGTTGTACATGAACAACTGCTGCAGTTTTATATCATAACATTTATTTGATTAAATCCCAATAGTGAGGATGATCATTTTTTTGTAGTCCATGAAAATATAGGATTTTCCTTGAATGACTGAATCTGTGATAGACTATTAGAAACGTACATTAAAATCTGCTCAGAAAACTTTGAAAAATTAAATATCTGTGAGATTGCATTTTAGCAACTTTTAGCACAGCCCTTGAAAAAGACACTATGACACAGTGCAGTGTATTGATACCAGAAGGAGAAACCAATGACTGTCAATGAACCTGACATGATTTGTAAGGAGTACAGAGTAACTGCATCTACCTTTACCGCCTCAGCAAGTGCTTTATATTCTGAGGGTCCTCTCCAAAATATCCCACACAAAACAGATATTTTCTACTGGCTTTTAATTATAAAGTTAAAGAATTTTATCATCTCCAGTGCAAGAGCAAGTGGCAAAGGTAATCCAATTTTGACATTAAAACAGATAAGCAGATATATACATATTTGTGTGTGTGTATGTGTGTGAATGTATGTGTGTGTATATATATATACACACACACACACCTATATATACACACACACACACACGTCATCTGAGTTCTAATTTAACTAAACACTTCGTTTTCACACTGAACTTAAACTAAATGTTTCTGACCTTCAAAGGACAATTTACCAGCCCTTACTGATGCCTAAGTTTCACGCAGCATGACATTAGTTAATGGAATACCATACAGATAAGTTTACTGATGTGATACTTTAGTATAGAATGAGAAACAGGAGAGTAAGTACAAAGGGCATAAGATAGAGTTAGGAAGCAGAGCTCTCTTGAACTGGATATTTCAACAGTGTGGAACATTACTTTGAAGGATCATAGTTTATTTTGGAAATATGCCTATTTCTAAACATCTTGTTGCAGATGACCAAATTTAGAGAACAATTTAAGGCTACAAAAAAAATCACCATTATACTTGAGACTGAAAACCAAAACCCCTAACAAAGTGGCAACCTGTATTGCTCTGTTCAGTGTAGCAAGTTCTTTAGTCTGTACACTGATACTAAGGATACAAACACTAGCGAGATAGTCTCTGCTTATGACGCGGTAGGTGAGACAGACACAAATAAACAATTCCAATATACTTAGCCAAGGGTAAAGAGTTATGTACAGTAGCCTATATTAAAAAAAACAAAACCACAAATGAGTATTTAACCAAGTCCAGGGATTCAAGCAAAATTTCCAAGAAAAGTAAACTAAGCAAAGCCTTAAGCCTAGTTCCACTTCAAAAGACACTCAACTTCCAACTGCCGCATAATTATCCTCTAATAGGTTTACTGTTCACTTTATTTTTTATCCCAAGACACAGGTAACAAGATATTTTCATTACTAATAGTCTTTTGATTTCTTGGCTCTGAATGGACTTAAAAAGCATATCTTACGTGGAAAGTTCAATAAACAGATATCCTATTTGCAAATGGATAGATATGCATAAATATATTCTAAAATATAATTCTTCAAAGAAGAAAATCTCTCGAGATAATTAATAAAATACTCCAAGTTGAAATAAGCAGATTTAGATTTGTTTTAAAATTACCTAGTTACTTTTCCTCTACCATAGTGAAATACTAATACATCTTTACAAGTAAATTTCACAGCTCTATTTTACATGTGAGTGAGTGAGTGTGAGTTGCTCAGTCATGTTGGACTGCATGTAGCCTGCCAGGCTCCTCTGTCCATGGGAGTTCCCAGGCAAGAATACTGGAGTGGGTGGCCATTCCCTTCTCCAGAGGACCTCCCCAACCCAGGGGCAGAACCCAGGTCTCCCGCGTTGCAGATCCTTCGCCATCTGAGCCATGAGGGGAGCCCATCTCTTTTACGAGGGATAGTGTTAAAGTTACTCTCGTTAAGAACCTGCCCATCGACAGTAATAACTAACACTGGAGGTTTTATGGGCTTCCCTGGAGAATGGGATTGGCCTAACCCACTCCAGGATTCTTGCCTGGAGAATTCCACGGACAGAAGAGCCTGGCAGGCTACAGTCCACGGGGCTGTGAAGAGTCAGACACAACTGAGCAACTAACACTTGCACTTGGCGGGTTTATGATGTACCGGGAGCTTTTCTTGGAGAAGGAAATGGCAACCCACTCCAGTGTTCTTGCCTGGAGAATCCCAGGGACGGGGGATTCTGGGGGCTACCGTCTATGGGGTCGCACGGAGTCGGACACGACTTAGCAGCAGCAGCAGCAGGAGCTTTTCTAAGTTCTTTACAACAAATTACTTAACCCTCACAACAATCCTGACTTAGGTACCATTATCTTCCCACTTGAACATAAACCTTGCCACAAAAAGATAAAACATTTAGCCCAAGATTATAGCACTGGCAGGATTCGATCCAGGCAGATTAGCTACATACTTAATCACTATCTTCACAATGACTTCCTAGCTAATAACAACCTGGATCAAAGTATGCATGGTTGGTTGTACAAAAAAATTCATTCAATGAAAAAATTTACAGAATGATTATGCAGCATAGATAACTTATCCTTTAATACATAAAATAAAAAAAAAAAACAGAAAAAAAGCCACGTTGCTATAAAACCAGTCTCCTCCTATTGTGCCTGTGGCACAGAGGCAGTTGGAGATTAACACCTGTTTTGTCAATACTAGGACACACAAATGGGCAGACAGAGAGCTGCCCACAGGGAAAAAAAGTATAGATTTTCCCAACCTTTCTTGTAGTTAAGTGTGCCCACATATCTAATGTGTGGTCAACAAATGCAAAACGAAACTGGTAACTGAAGTTTCTGGCAAGCATCCTTAAAAGGGAAGCGCTTCCCTTTTCTTCACCGTTTCTCCTGCTTTCTGGAATGCATATGCAATGGCTCAACCGAACCAGCTGTCTTAGATCCTGAGGCAGAAGCTGGGTGTGAAGACTCCCAGACTGAAGGACCCCAGACCCATGAGAGCCACAACACTACTTCTCGGAGTCTTCTGTTTATGTAAAAGAGAAAACGCCTATCACAGTTAAGATACTTAGGAGTTCTCAGTCATACCAGAAGAAGTTAACTTTACAGATAAAGTCCTCCAGCAATGAGTTTGAGCAAAGTGAATTTTAGTTAATTGGGCTATTATTTATGACTGTAAAAATGTGACAATATAGCAGTGTTATGATGGCTTTAACACATCTAAAGAAATGGGTATACACTCCCTCTTGGTCTCTTTTACATTAAAATACTATAAAATTGAAAATACATAATTTTAAAAAATCTGTATTCTTAGGTGTTGGTGAATAACTAGAAGACCTACAGTACCTTAAAAATTGTCTTATTAGTCTGATTTTTAACAATGTTCGTAATACATATACAAAAAGACAATTCATGTTAGCCATTTTAGATGCATATTACCACATCAAAAAACACTGACAAATATGACAACTGCATACAACTTACCAACTATAAAGATAAATTATTCACAAGGCAATATTTAAAGACATGCAATAAGTTAAGCCATTAGACTATTAACACTTACTACCAACACAACTTATTAGTGATAAAATGATAACATCTATTTCATGTTTCCTGAGATTTATAAACATTCTTTTAAAGCTACAGAAATATGAATTAGGAAGGATAGAATGAAGCAATCATTTCCCCAACATCTCTTAATGATTGTGTATTCTCAAATTTAAAGCTTCTAGTTAATGAGAAGATACCCATTTGATGAATTTAGTTGCTAAGTTGTATCCAACTCTTCTGTGACCTCATGGACTGTAGCCCACCAGGATCCTCTGTCCATAGGATTTTCCAGGCAAAAATACTGGAGTGGGTTGCCATTTCCTACTCTAGGGGATGGCCCTGACCAAGGAGTTGAATCCACGTTTCCTGCATTGGCAGGCAAATTCTTCACCACTGAGCCACGAGGGAAGCCTGTTCAACGAACCGTCTTACTTCCTGTCCCGGATCCCATATTCTCTTGCTTCTCCTCTATCAGCAGCCACTCCTAAGGTCTTCTTTGCAAGTAATTTATCTTCCTCCTCTTCTCAACCCTTAAATGCTAATGCTCCAGTGGTCAATGCTCAGACTTCTCTCTCTACACTGTCTCCCTGGATGACATTATCTGCTACCAAAACTTCATATGTCATCTCTAAGCAGATGACACTCATATTATACCTCTTAACTGCAACTCTCTACCCTAACTCTGTATTTCCTCAGATTAGTATACAGTATTTTTTCTCTTATCAACACACTGCCCAA